CGTCGGGGATCCCCCGGCCCCCGCCCTGAGGTGGCCCGCTGGGATTCTCTGCCTTCCTATTCAGGCTGCATGTTCAAAAAGTGGGGTGGGGGTGCTTGCCTTTAATGAGGGGCGCCAGGAGTCCGCACTCAGATTTACGGGGTTGGGCAACTTGTGCGGCACCTAAAAGAGGAAGAATTACAAGGTTAGGCAGGTGGGAGGGACGTGAGTCAGATCTGAGAACCGCCCTCTTACCTCCTCGTGAAACCCCTCTGGCCTCATAATAAAACTCAGAGACTTCTGGTCACTCATTCATTCACTCAGACACTCATTCGTTCAACGGATTAACTGGATACCTAGCGTCTGCCCTGGGTTCTGTTCTAAGCGCTGTGGATATAGCAGTTGAACCAGGTAGACAAAGACCCTTGGCCTCTGGGAGCTTACATTCTAGTGGGAGGGGACTGACAAATAAGTAGGCAAATTCTGAGGTGTGTCCTCTGCTGACAGGTGTAACAGAGACAATAAAGCAAGGACAGGGAAATGGAATGGTGTGGGGAGGCATTTGAAATTTTATATGGGTGCTTGGGATGTCACTGAGGTGATGTTTTAAGATCTGAAAGAAATCAGGAACAAACTGGGTTATGTGGGGGTGGGAGTGGGGGTGGCGGTGGGATAAGAAACCTCCAGGCATATGGGAAGCGACTTGGGGAATCTGGCTTATTTGTTGATTGTTTTCCCCCTTTCTGCCTGATATCCATGTTGGACATTCAGCTATAGGGACACTCTTCCCCAGTACTTAGAAGAAAATGTATGGCTGAGAATGCAGCAGGAGAGCATTATGCTAGTTAACATTTACCCAATACTCGTTGAGTCTCATTCACAGACGGTGTGCTAAGTACTTTTCGCATTTTCCCATGGCCCGTTGAAAGAAGGACTGTTCTCATAATCATTTTTGGATTGTGGATGGGACAACAAGGTACAGCAGAGTTTAACTCTTTGCTTAAGTTTACACAGCCATCAAGGAGAGAATTTGGAAATTGAACCCAATTGCAGGTCTATCCAAAGTTGAGCGTGTAGCTACCCAGTCACACTTTTCCTCCAGAAGCAAGGTTGAGGGTGAATTCCTACCCACTATAGCTTTATTGAGATATAACTGACATATAACATCGTGTAAGTTTAAGGCATACAACATATTGATTACGTATTGCAAAATGATTACCATCATAGTGTTAGCTAATACCTCCATCCCATCACGTAATTACCATTTCTTTTTGGTGATGAGAACATTTAAGATCTACTCTCTTAGCAACTTTCAAGGATACAGTGTGATTAACTACAATCACCATGCTGTACATTAGAGCCCCAGAACTTGTTCATCTTATAATTGGAAGTCTGTGTTCTTTGACCACCATCTCCCCATCCCAACCCCTCCCCCCACCGGAGACAACCACTTAATTCTTTTTCTATGAGGTTTTCTTTTTCTCTTTCTTTCTTTCTTTCTTTCTTTCTTTCTTTCTTTCTTTCTTTCTTTCTTTCTTTCTTTCTTTTTTTTTAAGATTTTACATTTAAGTGATAGCATATAGCAGTTGTCTTTCTCTAACTTATTTCACTTAGCATAATGCCCTCAAGTCTCATCCATGTTGTTGCAAATAGCAGGCTTTCTTTCTCTTGACTGAATAATATTCCATTGTATATATGCACCACAACTTCTTTATCCATCCATCAGCTGATCGACATTTAAGTTGTTTCCATGTCTTGGCTATTGTAAATGATGCTGCAGTGAATGTGGGAGTGCAGGTATCTCTTCAAAATCCTATTTTCATTTGGTTTTGATATATACCCAGAAGTGGGATCGCTGGGTCATATGGTAGTTCTCTATTTTTTTTGAGGAACATTCATACTGTTTCCTATAGTGACTACACCAACTTACATTTGAGGTTGGGGTGCATTGATTGTTACATATGGAGCTGTCTTCCAAGTGGTCAATTTTGGCACTCGAGTTACGAGTGCTGGGATGGAACATTTATTGAGTTCCCACTGATAGCCAAGCATTTACTCATTTTCTTCTACTCTTCACAACAACCTCTGAGAGAAGTATACCATTCTCCATTGACAGCTGAGAAAACCATGGTTCAGAGAGAGTCAGTCTGTTCCTGGGGTTGTATGTCTAATAGACATGTGGGAGAGCAATGCGCAGTGACTGCTGGAGACTGAAAAGTAATGCCTGATGCCTTCTTTCACTCTCATCTAGAATCCTGCATCCAGAGCTTCCTACTTCCTGCCCTTGATAATTACTCTAACCTGATACTCAGGGGTGGGGGAGCCACTCAGGGTGATTTACACTTAAGCTCTTTATCCTAGAGGTAGGTCCCTAACTTCTTTATATTTTATATATATGTATTTTTGGAGGTGGTAGGGTATCACACACCTATCTAAGGTTTTAATCTTCTCCCATCAAAATGCTCAGACTCCCAAATGCAGAAAATACACAATTTTAAGGAGTTCCCTGAGATTAAGAAATCTGTAGTAGAGATGGCCCTGAAAACAGACTTCTATTTCAATTAAACTGGCTTAAGTTGTATTTGAAGATCCTAAAACAGGAGGTTCATAGGTTTACAGTGACTTAGCTCTTTAAGAGCTTGCAGAACCCTCGCTGGCCCATCTTCCCATTTTGGAGGTGGCCCAGGAGGCAGAGGGAATTGGTGAGCTCCCACAGCTAGTTCGGGGCAGAGCTGGTGCTCAGACTCCATCTGCCTGGCCCACAGAGCAGTGCACCTTCCTCTGCCTCAGAGGGACGCCACACATGGCAGCCACTCATGACTTACTCAGTGGGGTGTGAAACGGGGACAACTTAGGCAGCCCTCTGCCAGGGGTCCTTATGAAGAGGGGAGGTTGTCCTTGGTCCTGGGTGGGTTATGTGCTGATCAGTCTGGAGATGGGGGCTGGGCCAGATGATTTTTTGAGGTCTTTTAGGTTCCAGGTGGTCAGCTTCCTTTGCTGGACGAAGTGACCTCTGAAGGCAGACGTGCTGCCCTTCACCCACACATCGTCACAGTGGTGGGAGTGGAGTCTCATATGCTCAGTTCCCACCATCCTCATATATCCTCAAGTCGAGGATGATGGTGCTTCTTTTGAACTGGTTTACTCCCAAGGGGGAGTGGTAGGAGGAAGAGAACGCCAGTAAGTTGGCAGAAAGCTGGCGATCAGCACAAAGACAGGGATATGGGAGGGAAAGAGTGGGACAGAACGAAAAGCAAGTTCCGAGTCCGCATTTGACTGTGGTGGCCCATTTCCCACTTCCCTGGGCGTTAATTTCACCAGCTATTGAACAGCCAGCAACACACCATTGAATTTTCAGAGGCTGTGTCTACATAATCACAGTAACCAGCTGCAGTGTGAAAACCCAGCCTGCCTGACATTTTTCTATGGTGGCAAAAGGCCAGGGTGGGGAAAAAAGAGCAAATCTGAGATTCAGATTTGGTTTATACTTGCTATGAAAGAGAATAGTTTGTTACCTGCATGAGAACTTATGTTTTGACTCAGGTGAAGGGAAAGGATTTTGAGCCAGATCGAGGGATGCAAAATCCTTGTAGATTTCAGACATATGTTGTTATTCACCAGGACCTTCCACAAAAGGAAAACAAACATCCCACTGTTAAGGCAAACAGGTGTTAGCCTTAATAGCAGCCAGGTACCAGGACCTCCCCTGAGCACCTTGCTCATGACCCTTACCTTGCTGTTCCTTTCTTCCCTTCAACTGGAGATGCCTCTTAAACCTTCTGGCTGATATGTGACCCACAGAATTGACCATTTGTTTAGGTGTCATGAGGATATAGATGATATTTCATTTTCTCGGTACTCCCTGGGGCAAAGCCAAGCACAGAATTCTGACTCACTCGAGGCTTGGGGAAGAAGAACCTTTTCATTATCCATCTGATTACATTAGAAATCTCTGATGCTGTGGACTCCCGTTTCTGTGAGCGTGCTAAGAGATGCTGCCACTGAGTTTGACCTGTGGAGAGTCTGTGGGGGATTCAGAGATCTGCTTAGAGGACCTATGGGAGGAGACCTCTCACCTCTGATCATACAGTTTTGCATGGTACTCCGTTTTTAGCTTTCTCCAGTTTTCCATTTAACCAGCCATAAACAGGAGCATCTACTCTCTGCAAGGTATCACGCTAGGCGCTGTGGGCAAATCAGAGACGAGTTTAGTCAAGCAAACAGTAGCCTAGCCCTGAGCTAGGTGCCATGGGGGATGATAATGATGGTAAAGCGCCCTTCAGAGTGTACGTACACTATGTGCCAGGCACAGTGCTAGGTACCCTGTGTGCACTTACTTAAATCTCCAACGGTACAAGGTAGGAATTATCCCCACTTTACGAATGAGGAAACTGAAGTTCAGAGAGGTTCTGTGACATGGCCAAGTCCATTCAATGAGTAAACAGCATTGGTATTCAAAGCATTGTTGTCTGGCTCCAAAGCTTGCATCTTTCTCTCTGCACCAGACTGAGATTAAAAAAAAAAAAAAAGAAAAGCAGCAGAAAATTCAGTGTTAGCCTTGAAGGAAATTACAGCAGAAGACAGAATGTGATCAGGTTCCTAAGCGAGGCAGAGGTCAGGGAGGGGACGGCGTGGCAGAGCGGTCCAGGAGAGAAGGTTCTGCAGAGGAGCTCCTTGGGTCAGGCTTTCTTGCTTCCCTTCCCAGGCCAGCACTCAGTCTGCTGAGGTTTTGAGAGCTGACTTGGATTCTAATCCCGATTCTCTTATTTAATAGCTGCTAATGTGACATTGGGCAGGATAGTAAAGTGACTAAGAGTCTGAATACTGGCATCAAACAGACCTGGGTTTGTGTCCCAGTTGCACTAGTTTATTAGCTGTGTGTCCTTGGGTAAGTCACTTAACCACTCTGTGCTGCAGTTGCCTCACCTGTGAAATGAAGTTCGTAACAGCCCTTACTTCACAGCGCTAAGGTGAGGATTAAATGTGACAATGTGTGTAAAGTACCTAGTGCAGGGTAATAGTAGTGATATCTGCCAAGAGTTATTAAGTGCTTGCCACAAGCCAAGCATCATGCCCCAAACCTCGCATGTACATTTTCTGATTTAACCCTGATAATACTATTATGAGGTGGATGCTATTATTAGTGACACAGTATAGATGAGCAAACTGAGTCTCAGAGTGGT